GGGCCTAGCCTCAGGCTTGGGTCAGGCTTTGGCGGACCTAACCATTTTTTTTAATTCTTTTTAATTTTTTCTACCAAAATTTTATTATTTTTCACAAAAAAAGACAATAGACCTCGGTGCGGGCCGGGCCTCGGACCGAGCCTTGAATGGGCCTTAATCGGGCCGATGGGCGGGGCAGCACTTCAAAGTGATGGCCCAGGCCCTAGCCTAGGGTCTCGGACTAGGCTTGAGCCCGATCCAAACGAGCCTTTCCCGAGCCGCGGGCGGGCTTCGAGCAGCCTATGTTCTTTTTGACAATTCCATTAAGTCCTATTTGAGATAAGAAGACCAAAATACCATTTTCATCTACTCAAATTTTATTTAGTCCATATTATTTTCTTATGTTTCAATAAGTCCTATGGGAGACATAATTACCAAAATACCCATAATGTGAATGTTCACATCGTCAATGTGAATGTTCATATCATCAATGCGTAGAGGCCTGGGCCGGCCCATATCGAGCCTCGTGGGTGTCCGAAAAAATTCGGGTCGGCCCCGCTCGGTCCACGGGCCAAAAAATTAGGCCTAGGCTCTAGCCCTGGCACAAGGGTATTCGGGCCTTAGACGGGCCGATGGATCGAGCCTCGGGTCGGGCCTAGCCTCGAGCTTAGGTCGGGCTTGGGCGGGCCTGGCTATTTTTTTTTAATTCTTTCTAATTTTTTCTACCAAAATTTTATTATTTTCCACAAAAAAAGACATTGCGTCTCGGGCGGGCTGGGCCTCGGATCGAGCCTTGAATGGGCCTTAAGCAGGCTGATGGGCTGGCCCAGGCTTCAAAGTGATAGCCTAGGCTCTAGCCTAGGGTCTCGGACATGCTCGGGCTTGGACCCAAACGAGCCTGCCCCGGGCCATGGGCGGGTTTCGGGCAGCCCACGAGCTGCGGGCCAATTCTACATTCCTATCAATGTGCATGTTAACATGTTAATGTGAATATTCACATTGTCAACGGGCCAGGCCGGGCCTACCTCCGGCCGCGGGCAAGCTTCGGGTAGCGGGCAAATTTTACACTCCTATCAATGTTAATGTTAACATGTCAATGTAAATATTCGCATTGTCACGGGTCGGGCCAAGCCCGTCTCGGGCTGTGGTCAGGCTTCGGGTCGCCCACAAGCTACGGGCCAATTTTACACTCTTATCAATGTGAATGTTAATATGTCAATGTGAATATTCACATTGTCAACGGGCCGAGTCGGGACCTCCTTGGGCCGTTGGCCAATTTTATACTCTTATCAATGTGAATGTTAACATGTCAATGTGAATATTCACATTGTCAACAGGCCGGGTCGGGCCCGGCCGGGCCGCCCACGGGCTGTGAGCGGGTTTCGGGCAGCCACGAGACGCAAGCTAGTTTTACACTCCTATCAATGTGAATATTAACATGTCAATGTGAATATTCACATTATCAACGGGCCTGCCCCCCGGCCGCGGGCGGGCGGGCTTTTGAACATCCATGGGTCGCGGACCAATTTTGTACTCTTATTAATGTGAATGTTAACATGTCAATATGAATATTCACATTGTCAACGGGTCGGACCGGGCCCGTTCCGGGCCGCCCATGGGCCGCGGGCAGGTTTCGTGCCGCCACGGAACGCGGGCCAATTTTACACTCCTATTAATGTGAATGTTAACATGTCAATGTGTGAATATTCACATTGTTAACGGGCCGGGCCCGCCCCGGCCTGACTCGAATTTTTCCGGGCACCCACGAGGATCGACATGGGCCGAGCCCCTACACATTGACGATATGAACATTCACATTGACGGTGTGAACATTCACATTAGGGGTATTTTGATAATTATGTCACCCATAAGACTTATTGAAACATAAGAAAATAATGAGAATTAAATGGAACATAAGTAGATAAAAAGGGTATTTTGGTCTTTTTATTTCAAATAGGATCTAATGGAGTAATGAAAAATAATATTGGTTGGATGGAATAAAACTCTTAAAAAGTGAATTTATCAAAAAAGCTTCCTTTTATAAAATATTACAAAATCAATTAAATAGAAGTTAATTTCCACACCAGCTCTTTAAATATTTCAAAATTTTAAACATTTTAAAATTAATGTAGCTTTGTTAATTTGTATCTCTAATCTAATGATAGCCTCTTCTTTTTCTCCAACATTATTATTGGCGATCATAATTATCATCATCAACTATTTTTGAAGATAAGTTATTAATTGGTCCTGAGTACTGCCACGTGTTGTGATTGGTGAAATAGATGAAACTTAGTGGTGTTTTGAAAAATTGGTAAAAAGTTGATTTTTTTGACTTTTTTGATAATTTTTTTGGCAAAAAAATTGACTTCTTTGACTAAAAAAGCTAAAAACCAAAAAACTGACTTTATTAACTTCTTCCCAAAGTGCCCCTCAAGAATTTATAGTGGATTTTTAAAAAATATATAAATTATGATAAATTATAATTGGTGAGAAAAACAACCACATGGCACCTCTAAACCCACCAATAATTTTTGGTTTCTAAAAAATTTAGTGTAAATGTTTAAAAAAAATTATAAATAAGTAATAAATCTTATACATTAATAATTATAATTATAATTTTATAATAATTTTTTGGTACATAATGACAAATAACATCTCTTATTTTGTAACCTTGTGTTTTTTAAAAATTGACTTTTACTTATAGAGACACTTTTTAGTAAAACTGAAAAATTATATATTTTTTTCGTTTGTTTTTTTTTTTTAAGTAAAATTTTTAAAAAATTTATATGAAAACTTCTGCTTTACACATTCTTCTAGAAGAATTTTAAAAATAATTTTTTTTGAAAAAATAATAAAAAAAGATCTACCGAAGGCAAACAATAAAAAATTAATTAATTATTTTTTTTTGGAAAGTTACTAAATTGTTTTATAAATAAAAACAAATTGATGTGATATTTGAGTTTTTTTAATTAATGACAAATAATTTAATAACTTTTTGATTATTTAAATTGTTCACTTTGTAGAATATTTTGTATATATCATCCATAAAAAAAAAATTAAATCGATAATAACTTTTTTTATTTTATCACTTTTATTTAAAAAAAAATAGATGACAAATACTTTTAAAAATAAGCCATCTATATACCTTTTTTTGCCCCCAAAAAAACTACTTTTAAACAAAAGCAGGCTAAACCAGTTTCACCAAATAGAATTTTTCACCAAACTTTTTTATATTTTAAACATGTCTTATTTATAAATAATCAATCGATTAAATGAGTTTCTAATAAACTCGCTTCGAATAAAATTTTAATAAAATAAACACAAATCAATATCAAGTAGTTTGCAACAAGTTGAAACGCCTTCTTCTTCTTCTTCTTTTGTTTTTTTTTTTTTCTTTTTTTTTTTCAATTGATAGGATATTAATTATATATAAAAAAAAATATTATGTCAAATTGAATAATTAAAGCCCAATACCAAACAGTCATCCAGCCCAACAACCACCACAAAAATAACCTAGATTTGTGAGGAAATCCCCAAATGGAGTTAAAAGTCAGCGTTTTGACTTTTTAAAATTGCATTATCATTTTTTTTTTTTTTTACGTTTTTTCAAAAAAAATTAAAAAAAAAACAAGCTTTTAACTTCTCAAAATAGGCTGTGCACGGTGTGGTTCCGGAGATTTGAGAGTAAAATTATAAATTAAATGGTGGATTGACAAATTGTAGTATGGGCGGTTTTGAGTGGATTGACAGATTGAGGAATATTCTAACCAATAATCAAGTATTTGTATAATATATAACACTAATTTACATAATATTTTTCATATATATTACTACTAATTTGTAAAAAATTTCACATCTTAAATCTCTCTCACACTTATTTTACTTTGATATTTCATTGGATGTTAAAAAATATATATGTATTAATTATAGCGGAGCAGAGCGATCTCGAAAACAGATTGTAAATTTAAAAGTTTAATCCGTAGTTAGTGTATAGAACAGTGTGCATTGACACGAATAGATGTGATTTTAATGAATTTGACGATATTTTATACAACTCTACTCGTAATAGGAGAGATATTAACATCATATCAAATTTCTATTAATAGAAGTTGAATTTGTAATCTCACACCAGAAAATAATACAACACAACCATTCACTGGTTAATCTACTCTATCCTTCTGAGCCCAATAGAATTGTAAGGTTATTTAAGGCCCAATAAGAACCATTGGCCCAATTACCCAAATCCATTTTTGGAATACTGTCACTTGTAAGAATCAAACAAAAGGCCATAGGTCCAAGCCATTGTAAAAAAATGTCAAGCCTAAACTGGTACTAGTGTGTTTGGTTTAATTTTAAAATTAATTTTAAAATTTTAAAATTTGTTTAGTTATAAATTTTTAAATAAATTTTTGAGTTGTATATTTTGAAAATAATTTTTAAAAAATTGAATTCAAAATTTGTTTGGTTATCAGTTTTCAAAATTAATTTTTAAGTTTTTTTTGGGTCTTGTGTTTTTTTTTTGTTTTTTTATCTTGTAATCAAATTTTTTTTTTTTGCAATATTATAGTTAAAATTGTTTTTTTCTTTCATATACTTAATCTAAATTTAGTTTTTAGATGCATCTAATCTAATTTATAGGACAAAGTTTCACTCTAAATTTCTTATTTTCTAAACATTTTAAAAATTTTAACACAACTTTTTAGTTTCACATCTATACAATTTACATTTATTTAAAGCATTTTACATTTATAAAAAAAAATTCATAAAACTACTGAATAAAAAAAAAAAAACTTGTATGATTTGAAAACTTGTGTTAAAACTTGTTTGGGTTTTGAAAACTTATTTGTGAGCTCGGTGAATTGTGTTTTGAAAACTTGTCGTTTGGGCTTCTTCAAAATGAGATTTGAAATATATGTTGTTAAAATCCAAATCAAATAGGTTTTGGGTTTTTACAAATGGATTCAAAAACCCAACCAAACGGGTTTCACACGACCTTACGCCTATATATATAGCTGAGAACTAGGGTTTTATTACTCTTCTAGTCTCTCTCGCTCTTTCTAGCTACTTTGAGCACACTCAAAAAACTCTCCGATCCGATCAGAATCAATGGTGGTTTTCGACATCGGAGCAGTACCCTTTAACCCGGACGGTTGGGGCCCACCCGAATCCTCTTCCTCCACCTCTCTCCTCCCAAACCACCCTACCAACGTCCCCTTCGCCCCCTTCTCTCGCTCCGACAAGCTAGGCCGGGTCGCCGACTGGACCCGCACCAACACCTACAACCAAACCCGCACCCAAACCCGCAACCCCTCCGACTCTGTCTTCGACTTCACCGGCGACGATTCCTTCGGCGGCGGCGCCGACGACGACTCCTCCTTCCGCCTCGTCGACGGCAAGCCTCCGCCGCGGCGGAAGGTATTATCGTTTATTATTAATTTTTTGTGAATAGATGATTTATTAATTTGTTTAAGTGTAGTCTAGATTCGGCCCCCGGTGGCGCTTCCAACAACACCGCAACCAGCTCCCCCAACGCCGCGACGAAGAGGTTGAGGCCAAAAAACGCGAGGCCGACAAGGAACGCGCCCGCCGCGATCGCCTCTACCACCTCAACCGCCCCGGCGGCCACGGCCAGCGGCGTGAGGCCGCGGTCTACAAGTCTTCCGTGGAGATCCAGCCGGAATGGAACATGCTCGATCAGATCCCTTTCTCTACCTTCACCAAACTCTCGTTCTCCGTCCCCGATCCCGAAGATCTCCTCCTCTGTGGCTCTCTCGAGTTCTACGATCGATCCTTTGATCGTATAACCCCGAAGAACGCTCGTCCTCTCGAGAGGTTCAAGAATCGGAATTTCTTCAAAGTGACCACCACAGACGATCCGATCATTCGCCGACTCGCTAACGAAGATAAAGCTACGGTTTTTGCTACCGATTCGATTCTTTCGACTCTGATGTGCGCTCCTAGGTCAGTTTACTCTTGGGATATTGTGATTCAACGAGTTGGGAACAAGTTGTTTTTTGATAAACGAGATGGGTCTCAATTAGATTTACTTTCTGTTCATGAAACATCGCAAGAACCATTGCCTGAATCTAAAGATGATATTAACTCTGCTTATTCGTTGAGTGTTGAGGCTGCTTATATCAATCAGAATTTTTCACAGCAAGTTTTGATTAGAGATGGGCAAAAGGTGAATTTTGAAGAATCGAACCCGTTTGCGAATGAGGGCGAAGAAGTAGCGTCGGTTGCGTATAGGTATCGGCGTTGGAAGTTATCGGATGATATGTATCTTGTAGCCCGGTGTGAGGTTCAGAGTGTCGCCGAGGTTAACAATCAGAGATCATTTTTAACTCAGAATGCGCTTAATGAGTTTGATTCCAAGTACTCTGGTGTTGATTGGAGGCAGAAATTGGAGACTCAGAGAGGTGCTGTGTTGGCTACTGAATTGAAGAACAATGCCAATAAGTTAGCCAAATGGACTGCTCAGGCGTTGTTGGCAAGCGCGGATATGATGAAATTGGGTTATGTGTCGAGGGTTCATCCTCGTGATCATTTCAACCATGTTATATTGGCTGTTGTTGGGTATAAGCCGAGGGATTTCGCAGCGCAGATCAATTTGAATACATCGAATATGTGGGGTATTGTGAAGTCTATTGTGGATTTGTGTATGAAATTGAATGAGGGGAAGTATGTGCTTGTCAAGGATCCATCGAAGCCCCAGGTGAGGATTTATGAGGTTCCGGTAGATGCATTTGAGAATGATTATGTGGAGGAACCATTGCCGGAGGACGAACAGGTCCAGCCGCCTGCGGAGGAGAATGCAGAAGATGGAGAGGCAAATACAGCTACAAATGATGTGGAAGACAAAGAGATTACTATTGAGGCTTAAAGGGTATTATTACTAACTTGGCTATTTTCTATTTCCTGGAATGACTGTCTTTCATTTTTATTTAGGGTAAATTATAATGATCTCACTTTGAATTTCACTGTGCTTTTTTGAAATTTTTAGTCAATTGCTCATTTCCTTAATGAATTATTTGTCAATGGATGGATTTTGATGATGTGATTACTTTTTAAACTAAAATATCAATTTTGCCGTTCCATTAAAATTATCCTAACTGAATGAGTATCGAGTCCCTTGAAAACAAAAATGTGTTTGGCATACACAAGCGTTTTGAAAATAAATGGAAAAAGAAAAAAAATGTTTTGGTCACTTGCTTGAGGTGGTGGCAGGATATGGTGGACAGGGGTGGGGGTGACTAGAAGTGGCCACAGGGATTGGTGGCCACTGTGTCACCATAGATTGCCAGAGGGTTTTGGTTGGTGGCTGAAGATGGTAGGCTATGAAGCATGAACACTCCAAAATTGGTGCTGTGGCGGTGTCCAACACGCGGACATGTCGAGGACATGTATGGGACACGGCAGATGGCGTGTCCCTTTAATTTAATACTTGTTTTGTAGGGGACACGGCGGAGACACGCTTGTCCATATTGGGACACGGCGGGGCTCACTTTTTATTTATTTATTTTTCTTCTTTTGCCTTTTCTTATTTTGTAGTTTTGTGAAAAATATTATTGAATGTTGGATGTTGAATGTTTTTCCCTTCTCGTCTTAGTTCTTATTATCGTTTATTATTAATTTTTTGTGAATAGATGATTTATTAATTTGTTTAAGTGTAGTGGTTATATTTATTGAATTAATGTTACTATGTTAGTGTTTGTGAATTTTTATTTAGGATGAATGTAATACGAATTTACATAACACATTAAAAAATATATATATATATTTAAAAAAAAAAACTTTGTTGTGTTCCCTGCCGTGTCCATGTCTCCATTTTTTGGAAATTACCGTGCCCCGTGTCGGTGTTTGTATCCGTGTCCGTGTTTCATAGGTGATAGGGGAGTTGAGGGAGGAGAGTGAAAATTTGTTTTGAAAATAAAAAACACAAACGCTTCGTTTCCAAAAATTTTGAAAAAATTAGAATCAATTAAAAGAAAAGAAAACAAATTTTGTTTTCAATTAAAAGAAAAGAAAAGAAAATAAAGAAAAACAAAAAGAAAAATTGTCAACAAACAACTTGTGTGGTGCAACTTATCACTGTTTTGACTTTTGTATTAGTAACAGCCTCGTTTGTCAACTTTGCATTTTAGTCAAAAAGTCACTATAAGTTGTCATATTATTCTTTTCACTTTTTTGCACATCTTTTTATAAAAAATTAAAAAGTTACTAAAATAGTCTGTTCCCAAATGAAGCCAAATAGGTCTTGTTATTTGGTGAACTTGTGAGTTTTTTGGCTTTTTAGTTAAAATAAGCCAGTTTTTTGTTTTTTGGCTCCCCAAATGGCATTCGGACCCTCTAGAGTGATCCTGCATTAGAAGTAAAACAATGCCGTTTTGTTTTAAGAAAAAAAAAAAAAAGGGACAAAATGTTACAAAGAGAGAGAAGATAATGACGTCCACTGCAGCTGCCGTAGAAGAATGATCGAAGAAGAAATCCCTAATTCCATCATCCACGTCTTCATGTTTGTCTTTGCCGCGGCCGCCACCATCACCACCACCATTGTTGTCGACCTTTGAAACCCAATTAGACCTTACTTGCTTCATTGAACCTCTCTTTGACCATGAGCTCTTCACTCTCTAGCTTCCAATTGTGATGCTATCCAAGTTGCCTACCTGTCATCAACATCTAGGGTTTCTTAATATTCCTTGGTAGAACAGCCACCATGGCCGTTGCTCAAATTCATCAAAATTCAAGCCTTGGAACCCTTTTCAATGTCCTTCATCGGAAGCTTGTTCTCCGATTTGGGTGGGAATTGTCTCCCAACCGAAGCTTGTTCTCTGATGTCTCCCAACCGAACATTCAGCTTGCATTGCGGCTTTGTGCCGACGTTCTTGACTTCCACCGGTACACCTTTTGTTGCCTTTAGTTTTGCCCTTCGGGGGGGCTGCAAGCTCCACCATTGAAGGTGGTGTAGCGAGTATTTTTTTTCTCGCTAGGGTTCTGCAAAATGGCTTGTCTGTGTTCACATTTGTTTCGATTTTAGAGAAACGAATGATGAGAGAGAGAGAGTGAGAGAGAATGACGTCCACTGTTGTCGCCGGAGAAGAACAACCGAAGAGGAATGATGTGTTCCAAAATGGCTTGTCTGTGTTCACATTTGTTTCGATTTTAGAGAAACGAATGATGAGAGAGAGAGAGAGAGAGAGAGAATGACTTCCACTGTTGTCGCCGGAGAAGAACAACCGAAGAGGAGTGATGTGTTCCACTTCGAGTTCGTCTTCTCTCTTAGTAAACAAAATGATGTCGTTTTGATCTACTGCAAGATCACTCTAGAAAAATCTATTCTAGAGGATCCTACCGCCCCCCAGATGTGTACCAAGTCATATTGTTTGGTAGCCTAGTTAGTTTTTTACTTTTTGGTAAAAATAACGAAAACAAGAAAGTTTTTTGCTAAAAATAATCTAGTTTTATTTTTTTTTTTAATTTCTTTTTTTACATTTTTGTTTTTGGCTTATTTTAAAAAATAATTTTTTTTTAAAATTTTTTTTTGATGTGTGACAAATGATAGTGTCATTTTTGCTCATTAGGCTAGAAAAGTCAAATAAACTGACTTATAAGCCAGCCTCAAAGGAGGCCTCAGCTCAAACAACCCAAACCCATGTTGATGTTCAAACTTACTTATTTGCAAACCCAAATTGTATATATAGCTTAATATCTATTCTATATACGGTGGTGTTATATATATCAATTAGTGTACTAACTAGTGTGTAAACACTACTTATGACATTATTATTGACTCCACTCATTGATCACATTACAAATATCAAAAACCTCTTAAATTACGTCACATCATCAATTGGTACACTAGTTATGGTTATATTTATGCTTTGTACTACAATATTGGTTATTTGGGACTTTATTTGCTACATTATTGGTTTGGCAAGAAGTAAACTACTTCTTGTAGGCCAACCCATTAAAATGACAAAAGCCATAATCACAGAATCTAGAAGAACAAGTCATATATATGTGTGTGCGCACTCTCGCTTTTAAGAAGTAATTGGGAGTCAATATAAAATGTTTAACACAACCACACTGGTGCACTTGGTTTTGGACATGTTTTAGAAATATTGAAATACGACACTCAAATATAATGTTTAACAGAACCACACTGGTGCACTTGGTTTTGGACGTGTTTTCGAATTATTGAAATACGACACTCAATGTTGCCATTGGATTTCCATGCTTCCTGTTTTCAGTGTTATATTTCGTAACATAGGATCTTATATTTATTCATTTTGTCGTTTGATTCTGTTAATTTTGAATTTTCAGGGTATCAAATAAATATTTGGTGGAAGCAGGGAGGCATAAAAGAAAAACTTGAGTTCCCTGATTTTGGATTGAGGTTTTTATTTCTTAGCAAAATTGTCTGATAATTTAGTTAGTGCCATCAACTGCCCTTTCTTCTTTTAGCTTTGTTTGTATTTATAATTAACAGTTTATTCACCTTTAAAATTTAAACTTGGATTTGTGTTGGCATGAATGCTTGTAATCAACGTTTTTTTTTTTCAATTTTGGCCACGTTTTCATTATTTTCCTTTTAGCACCCTTTTTTTTTTTTTTTTTTTTTTTTTTGGGCGTGTATGTGTGTGTGTGTGGGTGGTTGGATTGCAATTTTGGGAGTGAAGAATGTGGTGCAGGGCAAGGTGCTCCAGTTAAGATTGTGAAACAAACCGAGCTATTCAAGCTTGATTTGTGTTTAACTTATTAAAAATCCATTCATGCTCTGTTCATTATGTAAATATGTCTATTTGAATTTATTTTGAAACCCGTTAATTTTATGAACTTGAATTGATGAGTTTATAACACTACTAAAAAAAATGAAATTGTTAAAGTTAAGCCCTATTGTAGTTGTCCCATTTGTTAGTGCAAGTTTTTTTGTCATTTATTGGTAGGTGCGATACATTTTTTCCCCACCCATTTGTGTTAGGGATGACAATTTCGCTCTGCCTCATGATTTTTTCTTTATTAATCTTGAAAATTCATGTAGATGTTGCATAATTGTCTCATTCTCGCTTACTTTATTTACAAATTTTTCTCAATTTTTATCTTTTACTCTTTGAATAAGAAATACCTTACAGTGAGGGGACATGGGGGTAAGTGTTGTGCCTTAGCCTTATGACATAGTACGGGTGCTGCCAGGCCCGTTGGGGCATGTCTCTAGTGTATTTTCATGATTTGAGGATTGCTAAAAAGACATACCAATATGAAAGTGTTGGGTACTATTATTTAAATCAGAAGCTATCAATTTTGAATGTCACTTAAATTTGTTTAAGAACCCTAAAATAACCTCAGGAGAGTTGATTTGGTCGTCTTTTAACATTCTGAAAAGTTCACTTTGTGCAAAGGTGGCCCAACATTTAAATCTTATTTAAAAATTTAATATATTTTCATGTTAAAAAATATCAGTAAAATCAAGTAAAAATAAAAAATTTATAATAAACAAGAAATATAATTTATTTCATCGGCATGAAATCATTTTTTGAAGTAATGAAATTTTTACTATATAATTATTTTAAATTTTATTATTTCTATTAATCTATATTAAATAAAATTTTAATAATTATTTAAACGGTTTAAAGTTTATCCCACCCAACTTAGCTTCCATTCAATAAAAATCAACATATTATTTTGAGTAAAGTCATTATTTTTTTGAACATTTTGCCAAAGGTCCTATTTGACCAATTAATATTCTATCAGGTCCTAACAAATGAACCAAGTTGTTCATGAACAAGCTCAGCTCGGCTTGTTAAGGGCTCGGCTCGGCTCGGCTCGTTAAGCGAGCTCGAATATTAGGCTCGTTTAGTAAACGAGCCAAGCTCAAGCTCGGCTTAGCTCGGCTCGTTTATCTATATTTAAATTATATAATAAATATATTATTTATATATTAAATAATATTAAAAAAAATTATCAAACTGAGCTCGAGCTTCATTAATGTTAACGAGCCGAGCCGAGTCGAGTTCAAGCCTAATTTCTTATCGAGCCGAGCTCGAACTCAATAAACAAGCTCGATAAGCAAACGAGCCGAGCTCGAGTTCAGTAAAACTCGGCTCGACTCAGTTCGTTTATAGCCCTAGGGCCTACTCGCTTACAATTAGTACAATTCAAAGTTTAATTGATTAAAATACCCCGCATTCCATATATTTATTTTGGGGGAAAACAAAGCAACCCCGGTTTGACTTTCCATTTATACTCTCAACTCTTAAATTGAGATGGGCTGAAAATTTCAACAAATCCACATTGCAATTTCGAAATTTTCACAACAAAAGCATTCACAATTGAAATTCTCGTATATTGTAATCATCTACTATAACTAGTTTCAAAATTTAAAAAAGGACAAAGAAGAGTAAGTTACTTTCATTCAAAACCTTAGTCTATTATAATCGTTTTTCAATATCTTGTTCTTGTTATCGATTGCATTGTAATTGTTGTTTATAATTTCGTTATTGCATTACTTATTTGTTCAGATCTCGCTGCAAAATTCATTGTATTCAAATTAGTTGTTGCAAGTCACATTCGATTCTCAGCTTTGTATAAATAAATTTGAGAAAATTTTCAATTTTATTAAAATAAAAATTACAAAATTCTTGACCTTTTTTTCCGTCTGTTTTTCTTTAACACTGGTACAAACCAAAAAAAAAAAATCACAAAAAACTGAATAGAATTAAGAAAATTTTCAATTTGTATGAAACTGAGAATTTCTCAATTTCACACAACTAAATTTTTAAATGCTCTACACTTCACAAATAATTTATTTATTTTTTAATTTATATTTAATATTCATATTATTTTATAGACTTTGATGGGTAGGTTTCAAAAATATAAATTTCATAAAAATTGAGTATGTAAAATAGAAATAATAATAAAAATATAAAAAGGGTAAAACAGTCCACCAACTAAAAGTTTTGAAAAACTTCGACTACCTGAGTCAAAAAAAGGCACAGAAAAGTGGGTGAAATGCACTGCTGTTTCATTCAGATCTTCTGGCACAACTGGCTCAAGGCAAACACAAAAGCATGAAAAGCACTGCTGTTTCATTCAGATCTTCTGGCACAACTGGCTTCAGGGCAGAAACAGACTCAAAAGAAAGAGCGTAAA